CTGCACAAAAAAAACATGCCTCAGGGCTTCACAGGTTCCCTGGGGGGGGTTTGGTTCCCCAGGGAAATAGGCCAGGTACCTGATGGTGGAAAAACATGCATGACCTGGTTCTCAGAGATTTCACAGAACATGTTGCTAGCGACATCTGTCCTAATAAATACAAAAAGTAAAAAGCTCATTTCATGTTTTGACCACTAGGTGTCACTTTTTCTTGACATGCACAATCAAGACACCTCCAGAGTAGGATTCAAAAAAGTATTCACTGTTTATTCTCAAGCATCCTTGCTTTGTTAAAGTGGACAAATTGTTGACCATCATCCAAGGCATGACAGAGTGTGAAAATGTGAGTTTTGAGCCCTCAGGTTTGGCCAAATGCAACTCATAAATCCAGTCATGGTCTGCTGTCACTTGTGGCTCAAACTGTTGCACAATAAAGGCCCATTCATTGGATGAACTGTGGATTGAATAGCAAGGATTGGTTAATCAAATAAGAATTTATCAAGTTCCTTGATTTGAATTTAAATGAATTCTCTTTGGGTTCTAGATTTCCTCAATCAAGGGACTGTCAAAACTAAAAAAAAAGTATTCAAGGACTGAGATTTACTTCAATGTTCAGAACTGACACAATCAACATTTCAGTATGACAAAAATAAATTCAAGAAAAAAACCAATGTTTTCCATTGCAGCACAGTTTCTTTTTTGAATCTCAGACATGGTTTTTTAATAAAATGTATCAACCATTTAGAATATTTAGCAGCAGGAGAACTCCATGAAAATTATAGCAATGTGCAGCAAATAAGTACTGTGATGGATGTGACAACATTTATAATCTCTCATGATGAGCAAAAACTTACACAGAAGTAAGTAAATTATGAAATACAATAGTATCACTAAAATTTGGGATATTCATCACAACTTTAAAAAATTAAAATGCAGCAAAGACTAATATTGAAAAATTTCTGAATCCATTATTTGGAAGGTATTGATTGATATGTCCATATATAGGAAGTACCTCAGATAATGTGAGGTGAATATGAAAGCCTTGAGGTCCACCTGAAGTGCAATGGAGTCTCTGAAATCCCTGTTCTTCCTGGTCAGCTCCCTCAGGGTCTGCATCTGCAAACAAATCCTAAAGGGGTTCTTCATCCTCAGTCTCTTAG